ACGTTTCCATTGAATTTCACATAGTCTTGCTTTCACAAAAGTTGTTCTCATCCAGGCACCAGTGGACTGCCGTTTCTATCTCGCATCGGTCTTATCAACACCCTCAGCGGGAGTCGAACCGCGACAGTGAAGGATGGGAGCTTAACACACAAACCACTCGGCTACACTGCCACAAAGGCGCCTTTTGGGTCACAGGGCAAATGTGAATTTTCAAGGAAGGCCAGGCCTTTTTGCAATATACTATTCTTTTGGTGGAATTGTCGATGAAACAAACGTATATCTGCTATAACAATCGATTACTATACTTTATCTTTCGAATTAAGTATTGTTTTCGTGACTACCAGTAAATCAGTAATATGAGATGTAAAGACGAAAACAATACTTAATTCGAAAAATAAAGTATAATAGTCGATTGTTTAATTAGATATACGTTTGCTTCATCGACAATTCCACCAAAAGAATATGGTATGGCAAAAAGGCCTCGCCTTGTTGAAAATTCACATTTTCCCCGTGACCCAAAAGGTGCTCGTGGAAGTGTAGCCGAGTGGTTAACCTGTCAAGCTCCCATTCTCCACTGTCATGGTTCGACTCCCGCTGAGGGTGTTAATAAGACCGATGCGAGGTCGAAACTGCAGTCCACTGGTGCCTGGATGAGAAAAACTTTTTGGAAAGCAAGGCTATGTGAAATTCAATGGAAACGTCAGCTCAGCTCATATCATTGTGGGAAAATTCTTCTTCTACCAGCCGTTCATCACCTTAATCGACATTGTGTGAATACATCTCATATTACCGTAATATGCTTGTTGACGTTATTGGCAAGGTAATCTTCTTCGATTGCGGTAAAGACGTGCAAAGCTTTTTTCTGTCGTATGACGAACATCATCAAAGCAAGCTATCATCCTTACAACTAATTTTAATCTAACGACTCGCCTTCTGCTGGAATCGAACTTCGAATCTCTCTTCACCAAACACTTTCACTCGAAATGGAAGTGAGCTCAACACTTATGAAACAAGAGATTGCTCGAAGCCCACCTTTTCTTGGCACAAGCCAATAGCATACAGCAAAGATAGCATGCGGCCATCTTGGCCTCCAACATCGGTCCTATCAAATTAGGTCACTATCTCCATTCTGGCCGCCCTGACAACTCGTGTCTGTCTGCTTTCCCCCTCCGCTGTGCTGCTTGCTCTGTCCAGACACCTCCGATGACGGCTCGCCGGTCGCCTCATGGGCTGATGAGCCCAGGGGCTCGTTC